TTTATAAGCGAGTTACACAAGTATTAGAAACTTTCAACACGCATATTTGGCCGCTTAATAATTCGAATGCGATTTATGTGCGTACTGATAAAGGATGTGCGGTTGACAAATCCAGCGCATGTTAACAGTGTGAGACAGTGTTTGAAAACGCGTGTGAGTTTTGAGCTTAACACATTTACTTCATAAAGTAATTAATTTAGTCTTCATGCGTTCTTTACAAGAAGTGATCGGAAGTTGACGTAAAGCTGCGTTTTAAATCTCGAAGAAATTTGAATGAATTTCATTTAAATTTTATACGGGTGATGGGTACTATTCTGTTTAAGATTAATTTAATTTCCGCCTATTAAAATCTCTCCTTCCGCACTGGCCGAATGGATTGTTATAAAATTCTTATAGTGTGGAGTTACACTAAATATTCTGTCCATTACAATCCTCATTTGAATCGGAAAATTTTAAGACCATTTTACATGACAACATTTCCTTGACTCGAAGTTTCATTCTTTAACTTAAAACAGCATTAACCAATTGCTCTTTGTGATTGAACAAATTTGTTTTCTTTGACGTACGAACTGTTTTCATTAGGCATTAAAGTCGCCTTGAAGTCAGAAAACATTGTCAATAGAGAATGCAATTTCCATTTGCGGATATCTATCAATATTCCTATAATATTCACTTCTGTGGAAAACAATGGAATTTACATAAAGTAACAACTAAAACAAGCTGAAGGAGGATAAACGCCTTCCGAAAATGTATTTGAGTAGGACAGATTTCTATTTATATATTCTTCTTAGAAGTTTTGATGGATTTTCTATGTTTACGTACGACGGGAGTTGTGATGCAAGTGCATCGTGCAACACTGATGTACGCAGAGGAAAGAGTTTCTAGGAAAGTTTCAGGAAAACACAAAACGAAAAACACAAAAACTGTACAGTCTGTAAGGCCATGACCTTGGCTTTCAAGAGGAAGGAGAAGGCTTAAATACACGACGGTGGAATCTGGTGTACATCGGATCCCGCGGACAAATCGAAAATTAAATGCATTACTCTAACCTTCTGAATCCGACGCTCGTCTAAATATTACGTAATAAATCAGCCCGTACCGCGAAGAAAACACTACACTTCACCAGTACGTAATACAACTGGTTAACGCTGCTTAAGGAAATAATCGCTGTTTACTGTAATATAGATACGAAACACGTAAATACAAAATGCAGAGTTATTAACTGTGTGAAGCAGGTGGTACATATAGTTACCACTGGGTCTTAAAAGGGTTAAAGTTTGCATCACTTGAATTATCACTTGCGGCGAGAAGGTGCAACCTACAACGCTTCACAAACGATTCATTATCTCAGTAAATATGACTCATAGGCAGACGGAACCTGAGGTATTAATGAAACGAGATGCAATTCTAAGAGGAGAATTAAAAATACCGGTGTTTAACGACTCACTACGCTGCAACATTCACAAGCAACGAATATAACAGAATCTGGTTCGAAGTATAATAATGGGGACTGCATTGCGTTTGCAGCAATAATTTCAATTAACGTAACCCTTGACTTAACGATGAATTTAAAAACAATAAGTAGCCCTCAAGATGAAGGCAGTATGTTCCTCCAAAATTTCGGTATCTACGTTTTTAGTTCGCGAGGCGTTACAACACTTAACAGAGACATCAGCATTTTTCATCTGTCTTGTGCGTGCTACATATGCCGCCCGGCTCAATTTTAAAAAGTAAATTCACTAGGAAAAGAATAAAAACAATAACAGATTTAAACAATGTGGGGAAGAAGCTTCTAATCTTTTGGTCCATCCTTTACAATATTAAATAACCCACAAATGAAGAGAACTTTCGAGTCTGAATGTGGATAAGTGTTCATTCTTCAAATCTAAACGGAAAACAGTACAAGACTCGGCAATTTAAATATTACATACAGCGTAATGTAAAATTCAAATGAGATATTTCCTTTTCGGTGGGGGAGGGGCGAGAGAGAGTTTTTTTTTTTTTTTTTTTTGCCGTTTAGAGCAGGGGTGTGTAAACTGTGAAGAATACCGGCCACACAGACGACCACGGCGAGCAAACAACAATTTTACTGGTCTCGGTGACAGTACAAACAGACGTAAATATAATAAAAGCTTGCACCTGACAATGTTTGTTGTTTGATATTAGTAACGAAAAATATAAACTTCGTTATTTGTAGTGACGATAAGAAGTTTACACTGTGTTTGTGCCAGTCTGGCCTCGCAGCGACCAGTTTACTTCGGACCAGATGGGGGGGAAGCCGTCACGTTCAAGGTGTGGTTATGAACACTTCAATCTGAGAAGTTCTCCGCTACGGGAAGGAAATAGAATTAACTCTGAGGAATTTTATAATCTGTTGGTAACATTACGAGGAGACGAGCTCAAATGTGGAACGCCAGGTATCAGAAAATTGACACGCTGACTTTTATGCAATCCAAATTTTCATTACCGTCTTAACACCGATCCCTATCCTGAACCAGATGAATTCAATCCAGAAAATCAATCTTTCCCCTAAGATCAATTTTAATATTATACTCCTATCTTCATCTACGTCAACCAAGAGGTTCTTCCCTTAAGGTTTTCAAACAAAATTTGTGCTATTTCTCATATCCATGCGCGCTACATACCCCACCAATTTCATCGCCTTTGATTTAATCATCTCATTATTTGATGACGACTTCAAATTTTAAGGTCTTTTCGCTCATTTGTGCCCAGTCAAAGAGCGAAGTCCACAGTACAGAGCGGATATAGTGTGACAAGCGAGACGTGTCCACATTTGTGTGCAAAGGTAATGACGTAACTATCCACGTGACGTTTCTCAGAAAAAAACACGCGTTTCTCAGACCTCCATGCCCACCGCTGTCTTACCTGTAGCAACTGATAAACATCTCGAATCGCAATGAAACCACAAGGACACTAGGCTTTAAGAATTTGTCCCAAAGTAGCGATATCGTATCTTTCTGCCGAAAACATTTAATACAGCCATGTTTGTCTCATTCCGTGTCAGGAACGATTACTCAAGCTAAAGGCATTTCGTAGTGACAGATGTCAAAATCTTTTTAAAGATGATCTAATCCCAATAATTATAAGAGCAACTGGAACTGTCTCCAAGTCACTCAGAAAATATTTTACCAACATCCCGGGCGAACACGACATCGGGGAACTTCATAAAACCTCCATTTTGGGATCTTCATACGTCATTCGAAAGACGTTTTCATAAAATAAAAGGAGTCCCACGAAGGAAGGAACCGATCGGACGAAGAATAAGAAACAGAGAGACGAAAATTGACCTCTACCAACAAAACTTTGAGAAGAAAGTCAGGGGGGTGGGGAGAAGACTTTCGGCGCATTCCTAGTTCCGAGTCCTTCATCAGGGATAAATTCCGCGAATCGGAAGTGCGGTTTCCGGATGTGTCAGTGTTTCCACGGCAACTGATGACTATCCGTTGTTTTGGCATCCGCTCTTAATTGGAAGTTTTCTTTACATCATTTCGCTTCAAACTCGCGTGACATAAGTGACATTTACAACGTACTAAATAAAAGTGATTATTTGTTGAGATTTTTTGTTTCCCTTAAAAATTAATCTCGAAATCCGAATTTCTAAAAGTACTCAGAGAGACTTCATAAACCACGTAGGCTGCTACCCAAGGAAGAGAGCCCACTTAGAGGAGCATAGAACACGAAGATTTATTCCATGTACAAAGACTGCATCTTACACTAAGCGAGATTAATCTTTTACACATCCTCATAACCTGTTTATTTATAATTCATTTTAAAATTATCATTCCCTTTTCGCTTCTGTCTAAAGTCTTCAGACAAAGGTTTTAATCTTCTGCAAATTCTAAAGCTCTTTATCATGTACTTTTCTCCAGTCTCTTATTACTTCCTCCATCTTGAATGACCTCTTAACCTAATAATTTTAAATGTTAATACTTTCTAGGCGTACGTCGCTTTTACAAGACTGAGAACTTTCTCCTATATTCGTTTAATCGTACAAGAATTTCTACAGATTATGCGAACCAGTAAATACTAATCTCCACATGTCCGTCCGCTAGAAACAAATTTTACATATATATTTTATTTAATTTTCATATCAGACCGTGGTGATATTACGTACTGGCCTTCGATACAATGAAACAAGCATTTATTTCTCTTGAGTAAACATTATGGTCAGAACTGTACCTCAAATATAAATCACCGCATCTAGTAATTAACAGACAATTCATCTTTCAAGATGCTCTCACTTACAAAGAGAATTAAAATAAATTTTCTCGAAGTAATTGACTAACTCAGTAATTTATCCTACAATTTTTCACTTAACATAATGTTCATAAATATTACGCCGTGCTCAGACGTATCAATTTCGCTTACCTAGTAGGAGAAATAATTCAATAGCAGCCGCTGAGATTATGCTGACTTAAAATCAGCCACGTCATAACAGGTATGGAAGTTCAGGGTATCCATATTGTTGAAGAACGGAACTGCGAATGGCTGAGATGATAAATTTTCCAAGATAATCGTAGTATTATTGGGTCACTTACCTACAACAAACAATAAATGAAAAATTTCAGTCCACATATTACATGACGGGAAAATGTAAAATAATACTTGAAACACATTCTCAATGAAA